CAAATGAACTGGAATTTTTTGAACTATTCTTTGACCAGCCCTTGATGGAAACTACTGTCAGGGAAAGTAACAAGTATTTTGAGTACACCACGGCAAATACGATGATATCACCACAGTCAAGACTACACCGGTGGAAAGAGACAACTGTTGCAGAAATGTATTTGCTTTTTCAACACTAATGCTTATGCCTCATGTCTATAAGCATAATATAAAATCATACTGGTCCACAGATCCACTAATTTCTACCCCGGCCTTCAGTGAAATCATCCTAGTGAACAGGTTTGTCTTACTGTTACATATGTTGCACTTCTCTGACAAAACCAGGCCTGACAAAAGTGACAGATTATACAAGATTAGAAATGTTTTTATGTATCTGAAAGAAAAGTTCAACATGTACTTTTATCCATTCAAGAATCTTGTAATTGACGAGTCTTTGATTTTGTTCAAAGGTAGACTGTCGTTCAAATAGTATATACCGAGCAAGAGGAAATGCTTTGGTATAAAACTGTTTGTACTTTGTGACTGTGACAGTGGCCTGGTATTGAATATTGTTGTAGACATGGGAAGTAAAACATTGAAAGATACCAGGATGTTATTAGGCATCTCAGGTGACGTAGTGAGAAGCATGATGGCACCTTATCTTGGTAAGGGGCATACATTATATACTGATAACTGGTGCACAAGCCCTTTACTCAGTGATTTTTGCGAGTGAACATGACAGATGTGTGTGGCACAGTGCGTTCTAATCGTAAACATATGCCCAGGTTCAACGCAGGCACTCATGGTGATGAGGTGCAGGTGTTTACTGCCAATGACATCATGGCATTACAGTGCCATGACAAATGAGATGTCACATTGTTGACAACCATTCACCGTAACGAAATGCAAGACAGTGCCAAAATTGATAGAGAGACTAATGAACGTATTCGAAAACCAGTGACAGTGATTGATTATACACAAAACATGTGGTTGGTTCACAAATGTGACATGCAGATTGACTTTGTTGATTGTGTTCGTAAGAGTTACAAGTGGTACATGAAACTTTTCTTCCATCTCATGGACATTTCAATGCTCAGTGCATATAATATGTACCAAATGAAGACTGGCAACAGACCACCGTATGGTGGATTTTGTTTGTCTGTTGTCAGACAACTCATAATGAAGTACCAGGTAACAATACCTGCTATACAAAACCGTCCTCGAACTCCTCAAGAAATGCCCAAGCATTTCAGGAGGGAAGGTGATCACTTCATAATACATCTTCCTGCAACTAAGAAGAAATTCGCTCAGAAGAGGTGTGTTGTCTGTGCACAAACAAAAAAACAGCAACAAAGACGCAAAGACACTCAGTTTATGTGTGAGGAATGTAAGGTACCTCTGTGCATGGTGCCTTGTTTCAAGGAGTTCCACAAGCTGCAGTAGTTCTAAAAACATGTCCAGTGATTGTACATATGTAAATATATAATAGAACATTAGTATTATACAAGATTTGTGCATGTTTATTGTAATAAACAAAAGTGGTAAACAGTATTATAATAATAACTTTAGTGCGGTTATTGTGTTCAATACAGTGAGCGTATATATATACATTATATACAGTATTGGTCTCACAGGCCACAAATGTTACTAGAAAAAGAAAAAAATTAGAAAAGAAAAGAAAAAAGTATAAAAAACGTAAAATAAAGAAATGCGAGTTTGTGGAAATCGTCGATGTTGCTGCCACCCGGTCATTTTGGATCAACTTCTCGCCTCTGTACCTCGGTAAGTACTGATCAGAATTTTTTGTTTTGTTTTATTACCTTCACAAAAATATACTCTTTAATTCCGTAATGTCATCTGTAAGGCAGATGACATTATCATCAATATCCTGCTATTATTACATGGAAGGAGGGTGTTGAAATGTCGAGGAGCCCTGATGCTCATAGAATTCTCTTAGGGTACTTAGCATGCCCCTGCTTTTTTAACTGAAGGTATTTTGCAAAATCAGTCAAGTTCATCATGTCCACGTAGGTTTGCAAGGACAGGTTCTAGCCTGGGTCTTCTCCATGTGGTGACCTGGCAGTGGCTCCTGAAGTTGGGTCTGAATGTGTACATGTGATGTACCACTTACAATCCTATGGTAGGGGCACGGTGAGCAAACAAATGTAGTACTATTTACAGCCCTATGACAAGGGCATGGTGAGCCGTCTTCACGTTAACTGGAATACCGTTTACAGCCCTATGGTGGGAGCAGTCCTATGACAACGGCATGGTGAGTCCAATGGAGCCATTCCTGGCAGAATGACTCAGGAGATTCTCTGGAGGTGGTTGAACACTACATCGACAGAGGTTTCATTCCCAAAGTGATTTCATAATACAGTTTGGGACCAGTTCTGCCATGATTTCATTCTCTCCGCATTCCAAGGAGTAGTTCAAGGACCTGAAGCTTCCCGTAGCTATATGTATGACAGAATTTATATAGGAAAGTGAAATTATCTGTACATTTTCTAGCTCGAATTCTCTGCCTCGATGATGATTAATAGTAACCCTTTGATATATCTTTTAAATTATGAGCAAATCCACTGGGCCGAAGCACTTTTATACCTTTGTCTTCAATCTTATTGCAGATAAGCCTCTCACTTAACAACAAGTTTCCGATCCTAATACCACGTCGGTAAAATGAACGATTTGTTCGCTAAACAGACATACTATAATGGTAATGGGTTTATGTCAACTATCTTAGATATTGCTTTAATGTCACCCTTGTGCCATTTAGTATAAAATTTTTAGTGTATTTTTAAATGTTTATACAGTAGTGTACTGTATATTATAATAAACAGAATAGAGGAAATCAGCTCTAATATACGTTATTTAGGTATGCACACTGATCAGAGAGGCCATCGTAAGTCCGAGTCATCGGTAAATGAGTATGTCGCTAAGTGAGGAGAGGCTGTATTTGTAAACTGTGCTACAGCATATTACGTAGACAGAGTACTTCAGGGTACTATTTTGCTATTTTTTAACAGTCTAATTTAATGGCCACTGGCAATCCTCCCCTACTATTAGTCCATTATATTGAGGGTTTACTTTATACAGCAGTACAGCCTCTCCTCACTTAACGATGGAGTTCCGTTCCTGAGAACTCATCGGTAAATGAATTCGTTGCTAAGTTAGAAACATGTTATAATGGTAGGTTTGTGTCAATCATCTTTGATATTGTTTTAATGTCACCTTTGCACCATTTATAACATTTCTAGTACATTTTTAAATGTTTATAGTGTACTGTATATTGTTATAAACAGAACAGAGGAAATCAGCTCTAATATACATTATTTAGGTATGCACACTGGTCAGAGAGACCGTCGAAAGTCCGAGTCGTCAGTGAATGAGTACGTCGGTAAGTGAGGAGAGGCTGTATTTCAGCCTTTAATATTCTACAGTAGTTATCAAGCCTATCATTTTCCTTACAATAGTGATAGCAACACTATTGTCATAATTGAATGTGAAATTCTCTGACATTGTCACTCCCAAGTCTCATACATGGAACTTTCACTCTACTGAATGATTCGAGTTTGTGGCAAATAATCTTCCAGGTTTTCCTCTCAACAGACAGTCTGATCCAAGAAACAGTGTGAATCTGGCAAGGACAGTGCCAGGAGAGGATTTTAAAGATATACAGAAAGATGACATATGTGAACTGTTACAAGATGATGAAAAATTGCAGAGGAAGTGTTGGAAGAGTTCAATTCCAAGATAGAGGGAAGGCAGATAACATAAGAGGAAGAGGAATAACCTATACACAAATAACCCGACATAAAAGACAGAAGCTTACGACGACGTTTCGGTCCGACTTGGACCATTGACAAAGTCACACTAACAGAGTGGAGCAGGACGGCTTTTATATAGGCGGGAAGAGGTGGAGGTAGTAGTGTATAATATAACAAGATTGTATATAATACCGACGGGATGAAATGACACAGCACAACACCGGCATCCCACGTAGGACGTTTCCCCATCCAGCAGCCACTGGATGGCAAAACGTCCACAACAAAGACAACCAGACTGACATAGTGTCTTAATTTCGTCAGTAGTTGATAGAAAGAAGAGAGTAGTAGTAGTGGTAGTGTGAACTGGGAAATAAGGAAGACGAGCTTCTGTCTTTTATGTGCGGGTTATTTGTGTATCGTTCCAGTCACGGTATTGTGCCTTTTTGTTATTTAGGAATAACCTAAACCTATAATGATGACACTACCAGATATAGGCAAGATGTTGCATATTACTGGTAAAGTTGCAGACTTAAGACACTGAAAAAATACCTCAAAGAATTCTTGTGCAGCACTCTGGAGCAAGCTGAATAAAAAAAAAAAATGGCAGTGTAGAACAGAGCAGAGATGCATTACTGAATATCTGAACTCCAGTACAACCATGATCTATAGACAACTCTGCACCAATATAAACATGACAATTGCAGCTATTAATCTCAGCCCAACAGTAACATCCATCCACCTTGGCCCAGTAGTGGCCACACCAATTCTCTCCATGCATGTTGACATCTACAAGTACCACCCATCCAGAATTTAAGGTAAATTTTTTTTTTTGTGGGTCTCAAAAACTCCTATTTTCCCTATATTCTTTAGTTCCCATAACACAGATTTCACTTAAAATGCAATTTTCAGGAGCATAACTGTTATGCAAGTCTACCAAGTATCACAGAACAAAATAAACAAAGTTACAGAAGTGTCTAGAAATGTGTAAAGGAAAATGTCAATGGATGTAAAAAAAACAAGGAATCTGTCAAAGTACTGTACATTAGTGTTAATGCTTCTGTATGGATGTGAAGCATTCTCTAAGAAAAATTGTATTATCTAAACATATTAGATCTTATACATACCTATTTACTGCAGCTATGTATTAAACATATTTACCACACCTGCATGTATACCACACCTATGCCTGTGACATTTTTGTGAATAAAGATTTGTCTGTATTGTACAGGTATTTAAATTTTATAAAATACTTACATGTAGTTATTCCTGGTGTACGTATGTGGCCATGAATGATGGGTTAGACATAAGAGGCAGGGTATACAAGAGGTGCTTAAGTGCAGTCTCCACTTAAGAGGGTACTGATGTTATAAAGAGCCATAACTCTTCTAGCTTCACTCTCATAACCCTGGAAAAAAAATAAAAATTAGCACAAAATCTGATAAGCTATATTCTATATAAACATACAGTATATTTTTTACAATAGAAACTCATCAAATTAAATTAAAAATTAAAACGATTTGAAAAACACTGCAATCATCAATCTGTCCTCATAATAGAAATGTGAGTTTCTTACACACATTTTAACCCTTAAACTGTCCAAATGTAGATCTATGTTCACTTGTGTAGCACTCTGAATGTAGATCTACGTTTGATTTTACATGCTTTACGTAAAAAAAAACGTAGATCTACGTTCGGAGCACTAAGCGAGTGAACGTAGATCTACGTTTGGACAGTTTAAGGGTTAAAGGAAATTTTTCAATATATGCTATTTAGGTTAGGTTTGATTTGGTTAAGTTAGATTGTGGGGATATAGTTTCGGAGTGATTGGTATATTTGTTAAATACAGCCTCTCCTCGCTTAGCAACATACATACTCGTTTACCGACGACTCTGATTTACGAAGGGCTCTCTGACCAGTATGCATATCTATATAATGTATATTAGAGCTGATTTCCTCTATTCTGTTTATTATAATATAAAATACACTACTGTATAAACAGTTAAAAATATACCAGGAATGTTATAAATGGTGCAAAGGCGACATTAAAACAATATCAAAGGTGGCTGACACAAACCCACTACCATCATACATGTAGTATTCTCCTTACTGATGGGGGTCTTAGGAACGGAACTCCATCGTTAAGTGAGGAGAGGATGTAAACATGCATGAAAGATGGAAAGGTACCTAAGGGCTGGCATAGAGATTTCTAGTCCCTAACACAAGGTAAAAGGGAACAAGGAGGAGAGTAACAGTTATAGAGAAATAAACCAGGTGAGTATAATGATTAAAGTGTATGGTAGAATTATTAAAGTATATTAAAAATGAACATAGAAAGAGTATGATAATGAGTTAGAAAATATCTAGGTAATGAAAGATTGGATATAAAATTAGAGGGAAAGAGCATGGAGTTAGTAATTATCTTCAGATATTTGAGAGTGGACATGCCAGCAGATGGGTCATGAAAGACAAGATGAAAAAAATAGGTGGTGCGTAGACACACGAAAATTAAGAACTTACCCATGGAGGCAAATAATGGGAAATGTATCAATGTATCGTGGTACCAACCCTTTTATATGGGTGGGAGGTATGGGTTTTAATGCTGCAGCAAGCAGGTTGCCGCATGTGCTGAAGATGTCACGTTTGAGAGCAATGAGTGGAATGAATATCATGCCTACAATTCAGTGTCGAAATTAGAAATTGAATGGGAGTTAGCAGATATAATCCAGAGGGTTGAGGACTGATTGTTCAGGTGGTCTGAGCATACAGAGAGAATGAAACAATAGGTTGATTTAGAGGATGTATAAATTGGGAATGAAAGGAAGAAGAGCAAGGTTGTACCACAAAAAGGATGGAGTGAGTTGGTAAAGCAATTTGCAGCCTTATATGAGCATGTTAGATCAGAGTGAATGGAGAAGAGAAGTTTTAATGACGTGTTGATGGTGTGCGAGAAAGTAACATTATGAAGGGATGCAGAGAAACCAATTAGTGGGACTTAAGAGTTATGGAAGCAGGAAGTACAGTGCCTGCAATCTGAGGTAGGCTGTGGGGATGTTGGAATTCGGAGGGTCATTTGAATTAGGATATCAGCACGCTTCTGGCTAGACGACTATTAAATAAGCGAGGGTAAATATAACCTTTTTTTTTTAGGGGGAGGGGGATCACCCTACATCAATGGGAAGGCAGGTGTAAAAAAAAAAAAAAAAAACTGCTCAGTAACATCTTTACTCCATAATATAATATGTAATATCTTTATTTCTACAAGTACATGTACAAGGCATAGAGGCTTGGCTGACATCAATGACATACTAATATATAGAAAGCCACTTGTTATGCAGAGCATTTCGGGCAAATTAGGTCAGTTTTGTTCCAAGATGTGACCCACACCAGTCGATTAACACCCAGGTACCCATTTTACTGATGGAGAACATACACAACCAGTGTAAGGAAACACCCAATGTTTCTACCCTTGCCAGAAATTGAACCCGGACCCTCGCCATGTGAAGCAAGAGCTTTAGCCACCAGGCTATGTCACCAGGCATGTCACTTACAACATCACAGAGCTTATAAAAATGTTGAAGTTTAATAAGTGATAAAACCTTGAGCAAAGTGGTATGTAGTGATAATACCATCTCATGGCAGCTCTTCAGGGAGTAAGAACTGGAGAACTAGCTGGAATAGGAGCACATGGAAAACTTAAATTATAGATTTCAATGTATATTGCAGCACATTAGAGAAAATACAAATTATACATCTAAAATTCTAAACCATTCATGGTGGACTGGGGGGGGGGGTCGTCTTGATGCTAGAGAAGGGCTACTGATCCTAGAATCTGGGATTAATTATTATTATTATATTATTCAAAGGGGAAGCGCTAAACCCCGGAGGATTATACAGCGCCTGGGGGGGGGATGTGGAATGCATCAGCGGTTTAATTCGGGGAACTGGAGCACAGATCCAATTCCTAAATGAAGAGCCCTCAACCAACATCAAGGAACCTTCCTTTAGGGGCCCTAAATCTGGAGTACCCTTTAAATTTCTTGGGTCAAATGTATACCTTCAACCGTAGCTACACTCGATTATCCAGCACGAAAGCAATGAGAGTGAGCTGATGTCATACCTCAAAATCGGTGCACTATTTCTCAGTAAAGCAATCAAAAGTCATTGCTGAACCACAGGACACGAAAGACAAAAGCGATCATAAATTCTATATTCAGACGAATGTTAAAACCAACTCTGGGGCCAATCCCGTTAACGGTTGCTTCAGGGCAGCATTTTCACAGGTAAAGTCAAGTGAAAGATGTTCAATCTTAAAGTGTGAACATAGTTTAGATTCTAAGATATCCATTAATGTGTGACAGTGAAGTAGGAAACCCCTGTAGGAGAGCAGGGAATGGCTCTTCTTGCAGGAGAACGAAGGCATGGCAGTATCAGTATCAGCCCAGCTTCTGAGATGTCGGACAACTCTATGCACAATTCCTCTTCAGGAGGGAGGGGTTGAAAATATCTAAGACATTTGCAGAATGCGATTGATACAACGTTGTGGTCTTTAAAGGTGAGATCATCTGACATTATCACTTTCAGGTATTTTACATTAGTTTTTCGTTCTACTGTGTGGTTTGAATTTGTTTTATACTCCGATATAGTTTCAATTTCCTCACGTTTTCCATCTCGGAGTAACTGAAATTTCTCATCACTGAACTTCATATTGTTTTCTGTGGCTCATTTAAAGATCTGGTTCGTGTTCACCTGGAGTCTTGCAGTGTCGCCAATGGAGGACACTCATGCAAATTCGGGTGTCATCTGCAAAGGAAGACATGTTGCTGTGTCTTACATCCCTGTTCATTTTAGATATGAGGATGAGGAACAGGATGGGAGTGAGTACTGTGCCTGGTGGAATAGAGCTTTTCACTGTAGCCACCTCAGACGGCTACGGTGAAATTATAGATCCATCTGCAAACTTTCCTATTATTCCTTTATCACGCATTTTGTGCTCTATCACACCATGGCCACATCTGTCAAAGGCTTTTGCAAAGTGTGTATACTACATCTGCATTCTGTTTATCTTCTAGAGCATCCAGGACCTTGTCATTGTGGTCCAGTAGCTGGGACAGGCAGGAGCGACCTCCTAACCCCAATGCTGTTTGTCAAAATGTATATTAAATTATTATATTTAAAAAAAAAGCAACGCTAAAGCCACAAGGCTACAGGCTGCAGCCCGTAGTGCCCCATAAACCAAAAAAAAAGGGACTGATCCCTGTTGTACGTGTTTCTAGGTTAACAATTACTTAAGATTATATACATAAGCATATGTGTAGAGAACTAAAACAAAATGTCAGTGCTTTTTCCATTAGGGCCTTAAAAATGGAAACGGTTGTATGCTCACGAACAGTGCTCCTGTTATTAGTTGTTATTGGAAGGGTAGAGACAAAGAATATATCATCATGGGTATAAGCGCTTGCAGTCATGCATGGAAAACTGGGAGCATACACCAAAAACAGGCGAGGTATTTTTGGAATAAAAACCTGAGTGGCCTGGGTTTCACTCCCGTCACACCGGCCCGGGTTTTATTCGGGTGAACATCGACATTCTAAACCTGTTGACTGTTCACAGCAGAAAATATACCTGGGGATACTGTGTGGTCGATCCTAGGGGACATAACCCCATGGAAAAAGTTAGAAATGGACGTCATTTTCTTGTTCCGGTGGTCCTTCCGGGTTAAAATCCGAAGAATTCTTTCTTGCATGAATAACTATTGATGACATGACACTGGGATTGGAATCCTAACCCTCGATTATAATCCTATTACATCGTAAAGAGTTCGACAGTAGGACATAACAGCAGTACCATCATGATAATCACTGGTTAGGAAATTAGGTAATTTAATAATAAAAGAAGCGCTAAGCCACAGGCTTCAGCTGCTTAAATTGGTAAAATTTGTCGGGAAAGCTTTTCCGACCGTGTCCAGTATATGATGACGAGTGGCTTTGGCACTACGGGTTTCCCTGCTTCCCTCCCCCGGTTTAAAATAAGTTTGATATACAAACCGGGTAGTTTTCCCTTTTTTCGGAAACCTAGCAATGCAGCAATCAGTCAGATACAAGGAAGGATAAGTTGATGCAATAGTTTAGAATTCGTTAAATGAGGCGCTGTGCAAAACTTCTGGCAACGTTCCGAATGAAGATTTTCAAATGTTGACAAATGTCTCATCTTCAAATGGAGGAACTTTCATCTGGATCAAGCCCTCCTTCTGAGCTAAGTAACTCACGAGTAAAAAATCGAAAGAAATTGAATCCTTCATGCGAGGACAATATGAAACACACTGAGGGTCCTGCTTGTTCCTCCTGTGATTCTTTTCCGCGGGTTAACTGAAGTTTTCCACCAATGAACCCCGGCAGTATCGATACAATAGACATGTTATTCAATAATGTCAAATAATTCTTTACGAACATCACAGTTGGCCTTGGTTTAAATATTTTAAAGAATCAAAAAAAAGCCAATCCAATTTGTATACTATACCACTGAGTCAATTACCTAATATTGTAACATGGACCGAGGGGTAGTATATTATACCCCAAAGTTCTATATACACATACACCAATTGCGATCAATTTGGTCACTCTCTTTTGTCCCCGCTCTCCCTCCCACCCTTTTCAATATTTCTTCCATACCACCTATTTCCACCATTAAAAGACTTGGTCATAAATCGGCATCGATATATCACCTTTCAAACGATGTCCAACAAAAGTGTAGAAGAAATGTGCACACCGTGGGGCCACCGCCGGTCGCCACTGGAGAAAGACCGGGGCCAATATGCTCCCGTTTACCTGGAGAGGTTTCGGGATCATCCCCCCGGCGTCGGACCGAAACCCCAGGGATTGTTTCACCAAGGCTGTTTGCGGGGAGAGCTGACACTGAACCAACAGCACGGTTGTCAAGGTACGACTTAGAGTCTGCCATGCCTTCTTAAACATCAGGGGCAATTGTAATCTCTAGATTGGGAGGTAATTTGACGTTTGGGCACCACAAAATTTTCTATCATTACACTGGACCTTTTTAAATTGCATCAAAGTGGTTTTTGCTTTCATTTGAGTATCCTACTGTCATTTTACCCCCCCACCTTCCAATATTTTATCCTTACCCTCCTCCTTTCATTCCAGATTAGAAAAGGGCCTTCAAACCGGCTCGAATTTATCGCCTCCATCCCGGAGTGTCCCAATAAGAAGGTACAAGGTCTGAATGTCCCCACCCTGGGGGGGTTGTGTACAGCAGGTCGCACTAGAGAAAACACAAGGGGGAAGTACTGACGATCAATGTTTAAGTAGGGTTTAAAGAAAATCAACGTACCCATTCTCGTTCAAAGATGAGCCTCTCATTTAAATCAGGGTTGATTCAACCAGATTTTACTCTTGACAGAAAAAGAATTCGTACGAACAAACCGGTGGTTTTTAATTTTTAAGTGGTGTCAATTCTTTTTTGAAGACAGGCTTGCAGGGGTTTTCCAATGAATTGGTAATCCCCTTTGTATGTGTGATACCAGAACAGGTCTTGGGCCTCCAACACTAATCTGTTTGGTCTTTTCGTTTTTAACTCGTTGTTGTTTCATTTTCATCGGGGAAGCGTCACTCCTGCCGAAAATCTTTTGCGTCATTGGAGTGAATTAGATAAAAACGTTGAGTTTTACCCAATCTTCTGCGTCAGGAAACATGACCAAGTGTATATTTCATGTATTGCCTCGCCTGCATTCCAAGGGAATAAAAAGATTAAAGATCAAGTTTTGTGAGAGTAATTTTAGTGCTATTGCTTATGTAATCAAAGAAGGCTTCTCAAGACTTCCCAGGTTGAATGTGACAGCCCGAGGGGGGGAGTTAGGTAACAGCCAGGATTCCAGCCTAGAAGAGTAAAGCGAGTTTTTAGAGAGAGCTGTCTCCCTAAGAATGAGCTTGTCGTTATGACTTTGAAAAAGTAATCTTAAAAAGTAAATTTCATTTAAAATAGAGCCTTTTAAAACTAAAAATCCGTAAAAAAGTTAATTTCAAGGAACTTTGCTTTAAAAATATAAAGTACTTATAAAAAGACCTTTTGAATTTTTCTAAGCTTTAACCGAGCCAATTATTTTTTCAAGGTAAGAATTGTTTTCAAAGCGTAAAAGGGAACAAATAAACAATGTTTATTTAATTCCCACATCTTGTTTGTGTGATAACCGAGACGGAAATCTCCTGCTGATGGAGTTCAAAAATTTCAACCTTGTATTGGTGTACAAGAATTCACCGTGTGATGGAGTCAGAAATCGTTATAGTTTTCATTACATAAAGCATGCGTGACTACACTGAAAATGCCGTGTATTGACAAGAAAATTTAATTAAAAAAAAAATCAAAACCGTTGATTGTTCAAGTATAGCACCTTTGGGGTAAGAAAAAATGTTAACAAGAAAACACTTTTGATGGAGTCAAGAAAAGCCCTCTGTATAATTAGCTTTCTTTTAAAGGAATATGCAATAGATTAAGAACAGGTTTTGTGAGAGAATTTTATTATTATTATTATTATAATCAAAAAGAAGCGCTAAGCCACAAGAGCTATACAGCTTTGTGAGAGGAGCGTCACAGGGGGGGGGGGGAGGAAAAGGAAAAGCCCGGGATTAACCCAGCTACTGGGTTAATCCCGGGTGTTAAATTGCGAGTAGAGAGCAGAGCTGTCTCCGTAAGTTTACGTTTATAGCTTGTCGTTGTATGACTCGCCCGGCTTTGACAAGTAAGTTTATTCAGGTATACACAAGTACAGTTACATAGATTATCATACATAGCAGCACATGTATAGATAACCTAGGATAACCCGAAAAAAGTCAGTAACTTATTTCCACTGGGGTCCTTTGGCGTTGTATGAAACTATAATAGTACTTATAAAATGTAGCTACCAGTTCTATGACATTTTGTCTCCAAAAAAGAAGAGCTTAACCGAGCCCCTCACTCCATCTCTGTCTCTCCCATGGTAAGAATGGTTGAAAGGATCTGTACAGATAAACAAAAAATAAAGCAGATGTTTCATTTATCATTTCCCTATTATGGTGAGATAACATATGACAGGAAAACCGTCCTGCGTGATGGAGTACAAGAAAGATCACCCTGTGTAATGGAGTACAAGAAAATCACCGTGTGATGGAGTACAAGAAAATCACCGTGTGATGGAGTACAAGAAAAGCACCGTGTGATGGAGTACAAGAAAATCACCGTGTGATGGAGTACAAGAAAATCACCGTGTGATGGAGTACAAGAAAATCACCGTGTGATGGAGTTCAAGAAAAGCACCGTGTGATGGAGTACAAGAAAATCACCGTGTGATGGAGTACAAGAAAATCACCGTGTGATGGAGTACAAGAAAAGCACCGTGTGTGATGGAGTATAAAGGCAAAACCATCTTTTATGATTGGGTACTACAGGTAAACCATCTTGTGTGATGGAGTACGACTGGAAAACAATCCTGTATGATGGGGCATGGCAGGAAAACTATCTTGTTTGATGGAGGACGACAAGAAAATCATGTGGCGGAGTATTCTCTATAAGTATTACAATGCTGAGTTTACAGAATTTGGTTATTGTGTGGTTTACATGTAGTAAAATAATAATTACAGATTAAGTTTGACGAATAAACCATCCTGCTTGGAGTACGACAGGAAAAAACATCTAATGTGATTGCTGGTTTAACCTTATGAAATGTCCTATAGATCAAGGTCGTCATACAGTGTTGTGTAACCAATTTTGATAATGCAAAAATGTATATATCAATGGTTAATAGAACTTCGTTTCCAGGGACAGACGTCAGACTAAACTCCAAGAACTGAAATGGAAATATTTTAGGAATAAGAACAAGTAAGAAACACACAGAGAGGCAAAGGCTCCTACATTCTGACTCTAAGTAGAGGTTTGTAAGAGTTACATGTTATCTAACGGGTTCTTGAGGTAAACAGGAGATCAGCAACCCAGCCAGAGTACAAAATATTTATGAGGCATCCATTTTAAACACTAATATACCAGGATGCAAGACCTTTCCTGGTTGTTAATGGGTGAATGATTTACATGTATTCTGTGTTAAAATAAAAATCTTCTATGCAGGTATGATTTACTAGAGAAAAGTGTTATGAAATACAGTTATATGCTAAATACATGAGTAAATGCTATCTACTTGTACTGAAATTAGTTCTAGCTCCACAAAGTTTCATTCACACAAAAAATCGACATTTTTTAAGTTAGTGTTGATGGCCTCTTAGCGCTGCGCTATGACGTCACAGGACTCTGGTTGCCGGTGTTCTCCTTACTGATCAATTTTCAAGGATAGTCCGCTTGGCTCTTGATAGGGATGACATGATCCGCAAACGTGAGATGTTTGCAGAAGAAGGTCTCTACGTATGTTTAAAATGCTAAAGGGTGCAGAACTGGCTAAATTTTAGGTGCACATGCGCAGAGTGAGTCTCAGTAGTGCAGAGAAGCCACGGTGTGTCTGCAGCCTTGCCTGATATTGATGTGTCTAGTGCACCACAACATCCAGAGTGGTATTTCGCGAGAGCGGCTTTATTTCTTCTGTGTAATCATTCGAGAGGAGAAAATACTAACTGAAAAGTGCGTGTACACTTTACACTAAAGTTCAGAGAGTGATGCATGTTGGACAATGTAGTATTAGTCCGTGGATGGCGCAGTGCCCCTCACTCCTGCCTTGGTATTCTCTCTGGCCGCTAATATTGCTTACCATTCTCCATAGCGTTGTCTCTCTACCACAACTGTATCCCATAAATGGCAGAACCGTCAAGCTGAATGAGGGGGAAATTATTCTCTGCCACGCTGAACGTGATTATTTAAAGTTTACGCTGATATCTAGTAAAAAAGACTGCTGGTTAAACGAATATTATGGTGTTAACGCAAGCAAAGTTGCAGGAAGGAACCCTCAACTAGAAGATAGGAAAGGACAACAATGGTATGAGTTAAGTTTCTTCACGTCTGAGTTCAGCTTTTGGGTTAAAATAAGTGGAGAAACAACACATCTTATTCAACGCAGATGGAGTGCTGCTGCAAAATGCCGAGAGAAAGTTTTTACTCTATCATTCGTTAACCCAAAGACAATTCTCAGCAGCTACTCGCCCACGCTCACTGTCTCCTCGCCCCTCGAAAACAACCGAAAGAACTTAATCCAGCTAAATATTGATAGAATTATTAGGAAGCTCGATTTCTTCGAGACATTAACTGATAAAGAAAAGAAGTACGTAAA